TTAATTCATGAAGTTCTCACTAGATGTCACTATTGTCTTATAATAGTTATATGTCATTGGGATAGATGGCGCTTATCTAAATCATCGATTCGTATAAAACTTTCGTTGCTAAGTAACCAATGTTTAAAACACTGCACCTAGAAATTTGAAACCTAATTTGATTATAATACAGTACAATTTTCTAGGGCAGCATTTATTTAGGAGATAGCCTCGGCCATTCAAAATCTCTGAAAGTCATTAGCTTGATATCTAAATAAAAATAGAAACTGTGTAATTTGCTCGAGTCTTTTGGTAGCATTGAATAAAATTCAAAGCAATATCTTCAGCTGGTATAGCTTTTTGGCTGAGGCACGAATCAATTATTTTTTCCGCAGCGTCCCTTTCTGAAACAAAAAGAGTACTTATCATTAATAGACTGTAATAAACTTCTTTTTATAAAAATATGAGATTTTCAGATGTTTTAGATGTTCTAGCTTTTCATACTAATAATGTAGTATAAGATAATAAACAGGCTCTTCAACAAATACTATCAAAATTATCGATAAACCCATGTTGACTCAAATGGAATGATACCAGAGCCTCACAGAATGCTGGGGTGAAACAAAGCTTGCGTTGTTTTTCGCAGTGTGATTGGAGTAACCGGAGGCGCAATCCTTCCCTCTCACGTCCTCAGTCCTCAAATAACAAAGAACACACAAAAAGCCGGCAACACAATTGTAACTCTTTAGTAGTGCGAGTGTCCATTGGGAGACAAAATTGCTTACTAGGTCTATCAGGAAATATGGATTATAAGGTGATCCATCCACTGGTCTGTCGATCTATTTAATAAAAAACATTGGTACAAACGGCTAGCCGACTCACTCAATTGTTGTTTCTTTCAACGATTTCGATCTCAACACATTATGATAATGTTTTTTTTTTGTAATAGGAGGCTAAAACAGCTGTCCAATCATTTCTGCAGCAGCACATGAACAACAGAGGAGTCACAGGCACGTTGCCAGCCTTTTAAGAAGGAGTACGCTCTTTCCTTGAAAGTTGTTTGTAGGTTCTTGTTTTGTTCCTTGTTTGTATACATGCTTGAAAACGTACTCACAACAATAAAAAATAAAAAAGTACATCTTACCGTCTCTTGGAACCATTTTCAGAGCGATATCTAGTTTGTATACACCCTCCTTAGTCATTAATCCTCTTTTCATCATCACACATAAAGCCCAATTCTTCACCAAATGTAATGAGCTCTGAAATAAAAATTGCATGTACCTATATTAATCCAATGTTTTAAAACACATAGGAGAAATAAGTACTAAATTTTTTTTTCTCGGCCTTTCAATTTGTCCACGACTAGGGAATTTGTTGTGTTTTTTTTTTATTTATTTATCATTTTTACAAATATTACATGATTATTTACGTTAAATAGCAACCAAAAAACCACTAAGGTTTAAACTTGTGCTATCATGAATCATCTCAAATCGAAGGAAAAAAAAATTTAGTTACAGTTATTATTAAATTTATTTATATTATGTAACGACTTATTCAAGTGAATTTACAAATCTCCACTTAATGTCTTTCTAAATGTGAAAGTTTCTGATTAATGTATGTTTGTTATACTTTCAGGCGAAAATGGCTGGACCGATTTGGTTGAAATTTGGTACGCAGTGGCATAAAAACCGTAGTCAACTTACTAACGTCCCTAAATTAATTTTAAAATAATCAAGCCTTAGGTATAATTTGCTGAGCCTGAGAGGGTCCATAATGATGTTTCTGCATAATCAAATCTACGATTAAGGCGCCAATCGTGGATTTAATGGCAAACTTTCTTATACTGTTTACATCCAAAGCAAATTCAATCTTATCTTGCAAAGATTACATTCGATTTCTGAATGCAGGAGTTCATTTTAACTAATATAATACGTACATAAGGTATATTCCAACTACGGGCTTTTATCTTAGTGATAATATCAGGATCGACTCTGGTTTCTTCTATGCATTCCATTTGATACCTCTTCGCTAGTAGAACTTCATCTTCAAGAGAATTCTGATAACCAAAAAAAAAAATAATAATATGTAAGTATATAACAAAAAAATTAGTACGGTTTTCTTAGAAATAGTCGAGTAGATAAAATTGAATTGTTGGCGCTAAGATGACGGAATTTCTATACAAAACCGAGAAATACGCCAAAACATGTAGGTAGGTACCCAGAAATATAGAGAGAACTAATTTTTAATATTATTTGTGGGCCCGACTGGTTCATCGAAGTGATACCACGGCCTCAAAGAAAGCGTGAACCAATGCTTGCATTAAGTTTGTTCTTGTAAGTGAGGTTACCGGAGGCCCAGTCCTCTTCTTCCCCTCTATTTAGGCCCTAAACCCTTAATCACCACTCTAAATCCTTTAGTGTCGCTATGGGCGGCGCATATTGCTTACCATCAGAGGACACGTGCTAGTTTATTGCTGCCCTATTTCATAAAATTTTAACAATTTCGATAATTTGGATGAAAGGATTCTCACAGACCACGAATGTGCGATCTTAGTGAGTGTTGATAAAACGACTAACCTGATTTTACCACTTCGTTCCAAAACACAGTCCGGTTTCACAAAGAGATTTTTTTAATTAAAAAAACACATATTTTCAAATAAAATAATTAACGGTCAATGTACCAATTACATTGTGTATTTTTTTTCTAAATTGTTATGCGTGGAAGAGCCATGCTTTAGCATGAATGGGTCAACCGGAGTGATAGATATCCGCGCAGAAAACCAGCGTAAAAACGCCACAATGTTGTGTTTTGCCGTATGTCGGAGGTTACCGGAAGCCTAATCCTTTCCCAATCCTAAAATGTCCAAATCCCTTATCCTCAAGAACGGTTACACCCATAACTCCTTCGTTGTTGCGGATGTCCATTTGCGGCGCCAATAGCTTACCATCAGATAATCCGTCTGCTCAAATCCTATTACATAAAAAATTGGAACCTACCTTTGATTTGTCTGCACAACAGAAAAGAAACGAAAAGAAAACAGTAACCACCACTTTGAAGGTAAACATTTTTTGAAAAATCACATACACTGCACTTGTCTTTCTTTGATAGGAAATTAAGCTAATGTTCCGTTTTCTAGTAACAAAGCCGTTTTATACTATTTATAAGGAAGACGTATTGAATTACAATGTTTTCAAAATATTATCATACATTGTATTTAATATTAAATAGATATAATGGCTTATTCATACTATGAAACATTTGTATCTTGTATCATATCATAATACCAGGTATTGCCTGTCAATTTATTGGCTGTTGCAACTGGCGCCGCTCATGAAGGAGTGTCCAGAAAGAGCAACATCAGAAAAGTTATAAAGGCGTTGTTGACCTTTTGCCCTATATACCCATTGGGCTTTGGGGATTTAGACATTGGGCCTCCGGAACTACTGCGAAACTACGATATGGTTTTTTTATGGTACATGCCGTTTTCTGTGAGGCCGTGGTATCACAGAGATCGAGCCGATCCATCGTTGGAATGAGCCAGAAATTTGGCTCTCCCCGACTTGAAAATCTTCTACATCATGTAAAGCTGTATGTAAAATGTAAAAAAAAATGATAATGGTACTGGTCCATAATATATCAAAGAATTTAATTTAGAATTCTCTTTCCTAATCCTATACATTGCAGTGGACGTTTTATTATTGCGATTATAAAGATAAAAACTAAGCCAAATCCAAACTAACATTATAAATGCGGAAGTAACTCTGTGTGCTGTCTTTTCTTTACGCCTAAACTACTGAACCGATTTCTGTGAAATTTGGTACAGACATAGTTTGAAACTCGGGAACGGAAATAGGATAGTTTTTATACCAAAAATCTGCAGGAAGTCGCTATTCCACGCGAACGGAGTCGCGGGTAAAAGCCAGTAAGTAATTTAAAATTTATTCAAGTAAAATATGATTTTTTTTCTGATGAAAAAAATCATTCAGTAACCTCTCGGCAAAACCTAATAAACACTTACTAAAAAGTATAATGCGTTCTGTATTTCCAATAAAGAAAGAAAGAAACGTATAGAGAGAATTGCAGCTCATTAACAGGAGGTTGTTACGAAACTTATACACTACTTCTTCTTTTTTTAAAAACTTACTCATAATGTGTCTCAATAAGTTTTTTATTCAAGTAATACATGAAAAAAATCCCTCACCAGTCTGTGATAAAATTTTCTAGAAAACAATTAAAAAAACTTGTTCCATCTGAACCAAATCTTATATAAAACTTCACACCCTACAAATTACTTATGATAATAGTTATTGAATGAATATCAATGGATGTATTGATAGTCAAGGTCACGTACTTGTGAGACGGAAATGATTCATTTCACGCACACAATGCATTGGTTATTGTAGTGAGCCACTTTCTCATATCTAGTCTAAGTTTTCATACGCAACAATGAATGAATGAATAAAATGAAATGTATTTCGAAGTTAACTGACTCTCAAAAGGATCAACCAGGCAGAGATGTCAATCACTGTCCCTCCTCCATCCCTTTCCAATCCTTAAATATCCGAAACCCTTATCCCTGAAATGCCAGCAACACATTTGTAACTCCTTTCGAGGAAGGCGGGTGTCCATAAGTGGTGCTAATTGCTTACCATCAGATAATCCGTCTGCTCGTTTACCTATCCCATAAAAAAGAGAGAGTATTAGTACTCTTAGCGTCTTAAAACCATCTCCTTCCTTCTCTTGCTTAGGGTCATGGCCATGATACATTATTGCAAATGCACTTTATCGGCAACCCTGACTGGATTTGGAGAACGCTGCTGCTCAGTTTCTGGACGTGGAAATTATCTTCTCAACTGATTGTTTCATTGGATCTCAAATTTCCGTTTAGGTATATTAGAAAATGCGGTACAGGGATTGCACTATAATATGTGACCTCAGAAATTCGTACGTTTTCCAAAGGATTAAAATAAAAAACAAAAAAAAAAACAATATTCACTGATGATTTTTAATAAATTCGTAAAGGCAGTTGTCACATTATAAGTCAGTTTCTTAATTCAAATTAAAATTGATCCCTGTAATCCGAATTATGTCTAAACAGTAAAATTTTAATAAAATAAGTATTTTTGAGGGTACAATAAAAAAGTTACAAAAATTATTAGCAATTTTAAATCAGTCGCAACTGGAATTCGGTGGTGTAAAGACGTCTTTGAGCGTTGCAGTCACTTATGAAAATATTGTTTAGGAAAAAAGAAGGGGGCTGTAACAGAATATTCTTAGGAAGAATCCGAAGGCAGCTGGTGTTCTGCAATTACAAAAAAATCGCATGCTTGGGGTCTTTTTCATGGTAACACTTGACGTAGTTCCAGGCAGTTTGGTGGGGGGTGTTGCCCTTGTTGGCTAGGCAGGCATCGATCAGCTTCTCAACGGTGGGCTTGTCAGCTAAAACAAGATAATACTGTGTTAAACTATCTATGTCTATAACACTAAACTTTTTTGGATAGAATTGTTATTTCTGTTTCATCTAGATCTGGATGGATGAGGATCTGTTTTGGTCCAATATTGTACGTGCTCTTCTATCTATCATTTAATTTCCTTATCATCTGCGTAGGATTAATAGACATAATTTAAGTTTATAATCATTTTTCAATTACTAGGTGCATTTACCAATCTCAGCTCAAAATGCTCAATATTTAACAGTACTATTACGACCACAAAATGAAATGCAGTCTTACCTGGGTTAGGAACCTTTGCCAGAGCAACATCCTTCTTGAACTTGCCCTCCTTGGTCATCAGTTCTGACTTCATCATCATGCAGAGAGCATATTTCTTCAGAGGCTCACTCTCCGTCTAGAATACAACATAACATGTTATTATAAAGAAGTAAGGTGGAGACAAAGGGGTACTCTAAAAATCAGATGGATGACAGATTTTTCACCTAGTATGAATAGATCCGTAAGTAAGAGCCAGTAAGAGCCTGACTCTCCATTTTATTACCCAAGACGTGGAGTAATTCTTAAAGTACCTCTCAAAAAAATGTGTGTGAAAACGCGCATTTTTTGAGCCACCTAGCACGAAAATTATTTATTTAGAGCAAAAATTCCAGTCAAGTAATATAGAGCAAAATATTACTTGACTGGAACGGGTTGTTGACGATTATTAATTACATTATTGTGATAATTATCAACAGAAGACTTAAATCCGAATCCCTGAAGAATCTTCTGAAGAAACTTTCAACTTCTTTATTATGATAATGTGACAAAAGTATGGGACCAAGCTGAGGCACGAATGAGCCGGCACGACTGAAACAATGCCCCGATCTTACAGAAAATCGGTGTTAAACAACGCTTACTTTGTGTTTCTACACCCCATTCCAAATTCCCTATTTCCAATCCCCAGATCCCTAATCTTCAAATCCAGAATCTACAGACCCAAGGCGCCAGTTTTCGATACCAATCTTTTAGTCTTTTTATCCTTATACTAGTAGCTAATTGACTGCGTGGTGAGATTGTCACGGGATCTTGCCGGCGAATTCTCGAATTTATATTTTACTTATTTACAAATTCTCTACTAATGCATAGGCACCTAGTGTAGTGGGTCCATGCTTACTCTTACCATCAGGTGGTTTAAGCGGGTTTGTAGCCCTAACTCTTACCTTGTAATCACCACCCTTGAGCTTGTTGACCAGCTGCTCGTCAACTTTGGTCTCTGACAGACACTCAGTGCGGTGCTTCTTGAGTTTTTCTTTCTGTTCGTCAGTCAGAGCCTGCAAGGGACAACCAAGATAAGTTTACTAATAAGATAAGATACTTTTAGATTGAATTTATATTAAACTTTTTAATTTAATCAGTAGTAACTGAGTGAATAACACTTTTACATAACTAAAATTATTTTTAACAATAAATAAAATATTTTATGAATAATTATGAATTGCATTTACATTTAACAGAATTTTTATAAACTAATTTGTTAAGGCAACGCTTCAAATGATTAATTATAATAAAAATGTCGCTTCGAGAAATCATAATTAGATTCTTGTAGGTATATATTTAAATACATACATATATATATACATAGGTAGAGTCTAAATACGTAAAAATGCATTATTTAATAAAATCTTGAATAATGATCTCTTAAGCAGCTTATTACAAATATAGATAAATATATTTTTATCTATTTCTATACAACGCATTACGTTACGTACAAAAACTAAAAAAAATAAAAAATGTCGCAAATATCAAGAAAATTGATCTCACCTGAGCAAGCAGAATGCAGGCAGCGAAAACAAACAGAGTTTTCATCTTGATACTTGTAGACAGCGTCACAGTTCAGTTGTAAAGATGCGCAGGAGTTGTGCTGCGTCCTACAGGGTGGCCCCGTTTATATACCGCCGGTCGCAAGATCCTGTGGACTGATGGTAATCATCGGATTTCGTGGAGTCGTCAACATTTTTATTATAATAGTGTTTTGAAAATGTTCAGCGAAATAAAATTATTATTTTTTTAGTTTTCGATTACAATTTAAGGTTTATGATACGTTTAATATTAACATAATTTATATAAATATGTATGTATTGTATACAGAAACGTGATCAATTAAAATATGAATTACAAGACTAAGTATATTATAATTCTTGAAATATTTGCATAAAGAAATAAACAATCGCATACAATTCAATACCTACTCCAGAAAATTGTGAACAGTATGAATTAATCCTAACGAAAAAAAACTACATAAGAGCAGTCAAAACCTAAACAGCCACCATAAACAATACAGATTGCCCAATCCAGATTTGACAGTCCACTTGACTGCCAACCCTTGGGCCTTTTCTACTACTCTCTACTTTTGCTTAAGACGGCAAAATAGTATGTATATCACCTGATTTAAATCATTCGAGGTCAATTGTCATTATCAAGGGATACAGGAACTGGGATAAAAGAGCGTTTTTTGGGATTGAAGAATTTCAGGATTTCGAGATATTTGGGGATGTTGGCCATCCTTAGGATGGAGGAGGATTGATCCGCCGGTAACCTCACAGATACGACGCAACTCAAACTTCATTAGTCAAAAGTAAAAGCTTACAATATTGTGGGGCGCTTATAATAGAGGAACGAAGGATCAAAATTTCAGGTTTATCAGAGACTACTGTCCCAAAGTCTCTGTCAAACTTATAGTGTTTTAATCATTTCAGAGGAGACATATGATGGGAGGGATGGAATGCCATTTTTATTACATAAATACGAAGATTTCATACGAATATATTGTAAGTAATACACTAGACATCCAAATTCGTATTCTGGGGTAAACATCGAATTTCCCCAGTCCATGTGTCTCAGTAAAATAATCCACAAGATACGTTAACACATGGACTGGACACAACAACATTTTGTGCCCCACACACCGTTATTTTTGCGAGAATAGGGTAGTTTTCTAGGTCAAAAATAAATTAATTCGACGTTTCAATACAATAAAACATTGAAAAATAATTATACTTTTATTCATCGATCAATGAATACACTAAGTTTTAAATATTTTATAGCTAATTATTAAGAAATAAGTAAGCTATTTCATGCAGAAATACTATGACGTCATAACTCAGTGTTTCATAAAAATTTCATAGAAAAGACTCGTTTGTGACATTTGGATAAAAGTATTGAATTTGACTAGTTGGAACCTACCGTATTGAAAACAAACGCGCGTTGTCAATATTACAACAACAAATCAGGCGTTGGCCTTCTATTTTTAAAAGGGCTTGCCTAAAACATACAACAAACTTAAATATTTTTTATAATATTTATTTATTTAAACCTTTTTGCACAACTGTTCTACAACGGCGGACTTAATGACGATTGACGAATGACGTGATACAGAGAGATCATGGTAGGTGCAACAGCTAAAAGAGCAAGAGGTTATTAATAACTTATACTCAAAAATAAAATAAATATTATTATGTAGATATAATAAATCTAATATTATTTTATAAACTTACTTCAAAGGTTTAGAGCCCCTGGTTCAGGCGTGGGTACGTCTGGAAAGATCTGGGTCCGTCTTGTAGGTACATAGCGATGTAGCGTCGCGTCCACACCGAGAAACATTTTTATTTTACTATATTTTTATTATGGTATTTCAAGTTGATATCATCTAAATCAATGGTTCCCAAACTTTATCACGAATCGCTTAGTTGTTTTTGAGAATTACTCTATCATGAATAAATAAATCGTTTCCAGTAAAGTTCTCGATGGTTGGCGCTAGTGGGGCATAAATTGTTTTTTTTATGAGTTAAGGTAGGTGTATTATCTGATGGTAAGCAATCCGCCTCCCTTGGAACCTATAACATCAGAGAAGTTACTAGTGCGATGCCGGTCTTTTAAGGATTCTCTTTTCAGAGATTTTGGAATTGGGGAGGGATGAAGGAAAGAATTTGGCTTCCGGTAAACTTAGCCACCCGGTGAAACACGGTGTGGTTGTTTCACGCCCGTTTTGTGTGAAGCCTTGGTCATTAATCTGGTCGAGCCGACCCATACTATTATAATACTTTATTGAAAAATTAAAAAAAAAATACTTACGTAACATACACTCAAGTAATAGGTACATTTTTTATGTTTCATCTCCTATTTCGAAAGAGTATACTGAGTACTATAAACATTTTGTAAAATTATAATAATTTTATATATTATCGCTTTCATGTAAATGAGGGTAGGTAGTAATTCGACTAGATACGTTGTGTTAATATCATTTTTTAAAATAGCATTAATAGATATTATTTAGAGTGAGAAACAAAGCCATGAGTGTAAATGTGGAGGGACGGAGAGGGAGAGGGAGACCAAAGAAAATATGAATGGTTTGTGTGAGAAGTGATATGGAGGACAGAGGAGTTAGTGATAGCGTGACGGGTGAGGACGGGACAGGACAGAATGGAAGAAAAAAACATATTGCGCCGACCCCAAATAAAACGGGATAAGGGTGATGATTATGTAGAGTGAGAGTGCCATACCTATACCATGGCCTCACAGAAAATGGGCGTGCAATCCGCTTCCTAAACCCAATTCTCCAACCCTCAAAAGTCTAGCAACATCTACTCCTCTCTTGTTACAGGTGACAATGAGCTGTGTTGATTGCTTACCATGATGAAATCACATAAAAAAACCCGAAGTCACACCTTAAACTCTTTACTTTGTTTTTTGCAACCATTTGACAAACATGGTACCTATAATATTGTGCTTAATTATTTGAGAACCGCTGATCTCAATAGAAACCGGCACGGACTCTGTTTTAAGTTCTAAGAAATAAATGCATATTGAATCGAACGAATCATTTCTTTTGCCTTTTATTGCTCAGATAAGTATATTTTTATTGCAATATTTTATCCAAAGGTTTATTGTGTGTACGAAATACCCTATATTTTTATAGGATAGGTCGGCAAACGAGCAGATTGATCTCCTAAGTAAAGTACCTCCTCAAAGTATTTGAAGCCGCCGTTAGATAACTACAACATCTCGGCGTGTAAGTTTCACATCGATTTCTATGAGACCGTTGTGTAACTTTGGCTAAGTTGGCCCATTCGTATCGAACCATGGCTTTTTTTTGTCAGGGGTAAAACATCCAATGACTTCTCCCGCCCAGGGTAAGGCGAGAGAGAGTGTCAGACACTTATTGACTAAAAAAAACCCTCGTTCCTTCTCCTGCTCTGGGCCGAGGTCGCGGTGCCTCATTGCATTGTCAGACAGCCAAGCTTCAGCCGGGGTTGCGGGGTAAATGAGGCACCGCGACCTCAGCCCAGAGCAGGAGAAGGTACAGGAGGTTTTTAGTCAGTAAGAATCTGACACTCCCTCTCGCCCGGTCCTGGGCGGGAGAAATCATTTGTGATTTTCCCCTCACAAAAAAAGACCCATAATTAAGTCTTACGACGCTTGCAAGAAGAGCGGGGGAGGGTGGAAGGGGACAACAAAACGTATTTCATTTTCATTCAGTCATCATCCTTTATCATCTGCCAGTATATGCCCACTTCTGAGCAAGGACGAGTACTTCTTCTCACATGGAAAAGATCCTCATCACTACATAGTATAAAACATAGTGACTTTCTCTGTCCCTTTATATTATCCCTATGTTTGTTTAAATCTTTAATATTACGCAGCGGATTTAGATCCGGTTTTTTTAATAGATTTCAGTGATTAAAGAGGAAGGTTACGTTTATATGTATAATAACAGCCATTAAATTGTGGATATAGTATTACCATTGAATCTGTGCGAAGCCAGGGCGGGTCGCTAGTAAGTAATATTAGCGAATATTTTAATATACACATCTGGATAAACCATTAAGATAAGGAATGTTAAGTTATTATTCTAAGTACCAACTGCTAAGTGTAAATTAATAACATTCATTAAAATAAAATCAAACAATGAACACATTCCATGGAAAAAAATATCACCCACTAGCTTTTTCCCGCGACTCCGTTCGCGTGGAATAGTTACTTCCTCCAGATTTTTGGTATAAAAACTATACTATGTTCTGTCTCGAGTTCCAAAATATGAAATCGGTTCAGTAGTTTAAGCGTGAAGAAAAGACAGACATACAGAGTTACTTTTCGCATTTATAATTATCAACCATTGCTTGCCTGTTTTATAATATTGAGTTAAAACTAGTAGAAGCACGTAGGATGCGCATGCGCACCGCTTTAGTCCTAACTGATAAATTGCCAGCGAACAATCAGTCTAACGACATAATGCAATAAACGACGGACTTGTTGATTTATTGATGTACATTGACCCTTATGCCCTCTGTAGTTTGGAAGATTTTACACTATTTTTCCTTGTTTACTTAATACAAATTCTGGAATTGTTGTATAGCTAAACTGCACCGCCATGTTGGCGGAATGGTCGAATAGAGTAGGGGATGTTGATAATTTTATTTTTTACTTTTTTTAAATTTCTTATTAAAATAGCACGGGAATTGGAATTGAATATTTTTCTTGGTCAAAAATGGATCGGCTCGACCGGAGTGATACCACGGCCTCACGTCCGGCCTCGGCGTGAAACAACCACAGCGTTGTATTCCGCCGTGTGAGTAAGGTTACTGGAGGTACAATCATTCCCCACCAACAAACCCTCCTCAATCCAAATCTCCAAATCCCTAATCCCTAAAAGGTCGGCAACGCACTCGTAACTCCTCCGTTGCGGGCATGTCTGTCCATGGGCAGCGCTCATCGCCATCAGCATAAATGACAAAGCATCGTGAGGAAACCTGGACTACGAATTATAAGTTTGAAATCACCAATCCAAATACAAACATTCTCCATTTGAAAAGAGGCCTCTGCTCAGCAGTGGGTACTTATAGGCTGATGATGGTTTGTGTCTAATGCTGAAATCATATAAAAAGTTTCGTTTAA